TTTGGGAAAGAAGACATCAGAAAGGGCATGTGGTGTAGATGGTTATCACGCTTCCTTAGCATGGAAGAGGTCCCAGATTCGAGTTCTGGCTTGTCCAATTTTTTTCTTTTCCTCTTCACTCTTTCATTTTCTTTTTTTCACTTTTTTTTTTCATATTTTTTTTTATTTGACTAATAATTAAAGAAAACGAAAAAGAATAGAATAGATTAGAATAGCATAAATTAGAAAGTATAAAAAAAAAAAAACACCATTATAACAGGAAATAGGAATCTACGTAAAAGCTGCAGTATGGATGAGATCCCCAATGAATAAAAATAAAATATAGTTAAAGAAAAGAAAGAAAAAACCAAAATAAAACTATTAATAAACGTAAGAAAACGTCAAATTTTTGATGAGGGAAAAAAAAGAAAACAAAAGTGAAAAAAAATCATGGTCACAGCCAGGCTCGAACTGGCGACATTCGACTTATTAGATCGACATGATAACCAACTACATCATGCGACCATCCTTGTAAAGTTTTATTTGTCGTCTTATCTATCATGTAGTAAAGTAAATTGCGTAATTTTCGATGGACTCTTTCTATTTGCGGTTAGAAGAACCCTAATGAGAACGATGTCTTAGTACATCCCAGCATCATTTTGAAGACTATCCGGAGTCAAGATAGTTAAAACGAATAATTACGAAGGCGGAAAACAGAAGAGGGAAAAAGAAAGATATATTATAGAGTCTCTACAGAATTTAAAAATAAATGATAAGCGTCAATGCAGATTGATACACAGATATCTTGTAAGATCTGGCGATATTTCAATAGCTAACGTGTGAAACGTGTAAAAAAAAAAGTAAAAAAAAAACTAATCCGCCAGAGGCTATAACTACTGCTATGACTTGGTTAATATCTGAATCCATGTTTATGGATAAAATGTTGAATTACCCTTTAAAACAATAAAATCGAAAAAGAAACGAGGTTTTTTCCCTTTTTCTCTACAATTTCGATCCTGAAGTTAACTATTAACTTGATTTTTTCTTATTTTTTCCTTTCGAGTATATGATATTATGGGGTTTCTTACTTTTGAGTCACAAAATCCTAGAAAATGGGTTTTTATTGATGATTTTATGCTTAATTGCGAAATTCTATTTTTTACATAAACTGATTTTAATTTGCGTGGACTATGATAGCCACAAGTAGTATTAATTTTAGCTATAAATAGCTCTAAATGTGCTGTCTAACAGCTATCCGTTGTGGTCCAACGGCTAGGATTCGTCGCTTTCACCGACGCGGCCGGGGTTCGACTCCCCGCAACGGAAATATTTTTTCTTTCTCTTTCATTTTCTGCGAAAACGAAAAAAATTATAAAGTATTATGATAACATTGAAAATCTTAGAAAAGTACTCGTTTGTAATATCAGTCAGCCGGAAAGATTTCATGTACCGTTTATCTCTTAAAGGTATTAATGATGTATACTATCGTCAAGACCGAAGTATATAGGGCATCTCAAGGTCAATGTATGCAGCTATAAGACGAATTTATCATAGTATTTCCTAAGAATATGAGTAGAGTCAAAAGGTGCTGACAGATGTGAGTTAAATAGCAAAATGGTGGTTTGATTTTGCAGTTATTCTTTCTATATATATCATTAGTATACACTTATTTTTTTCATGGCGTTTTCTGTTTTCTGTTTCATTGTTTGGTAGGGTTTGCTACTTATTTTAAAAATAAACATTGCCTGTTTCTGAATATGCTTATACAACTTGAAACGGTTGACTTAAATAATTCAAAAGTCCACTAAAACTATATATATATATAAAAGATACTTATATTTATTTATCGAAATTAATAGTAAGTTAACATCATTTACTGTGAGATTCGATTTCCTTTATTTTCAGTTTTGATAACTATTGCAATTAAGCTTGTATGTATATATAATAAAAAGAAGCATTAGGAATCAAAAATAAATAGAGGTAAAAGATGTAGCTCAAATTTTCAATAGTAAGCTAAACCAATGAGCAAGGTGTATTTTTCAGACCATGAAAGTCTGTAAGGTTTCAATAAGGGTGCTCGCTTATAATAAATATAAGGTTCCTTTAACTCTGTTTTATTCGTCATATTGACAAATGCTTCCAATACTAGGGAACCCTGGATTCAGAAGAGGCAATAAATCCGTTATCCATTCGTACTTGTTTCTTCCCGCAAATGGGTTAAAGTCAGAAATCCGCTCGACTCCTCAACTTTGGATGGGTCCAAGTACGAGTTAGTTGATGTATTGATAATAGAACCGAAAATCACCATATTGGCCCTGTTCTACTTACTTTTCTAATTTTCCGAGTGAATTAATAAGCTAGGAATAGTGTCTAAATGGGTATATAGATAGATATACGCTCTTAAATAGTGTAAGAAAGAGTAGATCTTCCTTTTTGTACTGATACTCAAAGGACCTAGAAAGCTTTGTTTATCCTCTAAAACACGCGCATTATGGAAGAAAAGAAAAGCTTGAACGAAAGAAATCAACTTCACAATTTCGCTCTACTCTCTTCTCGTAAATCAAACAATCAATCTTTGGTAGTTCACTTCTATAAGCATTAAAGAAAAGAGAGCAATAAATAAGAAATTGAACATTATTGTAACCCTCCAATACAGTGTTGTCATTTCCATCGTTGGAAAATATGAGGAAATTCCAGGATTCTGAAGACATCCCAATTCAATTTATGAAACGATATAAAAAAAGCAAAAGAAAACCGGAACAAAGACAAAGAGAACAACAAAAAGAGTAGCCTACAGCACCCCGGATTCCCATGTTGTCTCCAACCATAGTACTAACGAGGCCCTCAGACGCTTAACTTCAGTGATCGGACGGGAACTGGTGTTTTCGCCTAGGTATGGCCGTAGACAACTGTAATTATGTTATAAAATATACATACATAATATTAATTACACAAGGTACTTGAAATAAGAGATATGAGAATATAAGATTTTTATGAGATACCACATAAATACATATCACTCATTATTCGAAATTTTGTAAAATTCATATACTTCTCATACTTGAATGACATGTAAAATTTCACGGCAAGCGCAATAACAATATAAACCTTGAATTTTTATCGATAACGCCGCTGCTTCTTGTTGTCATGTAAATAGATTGTGCGTTCATAGATGATGCTACGAAGTAGGAAATGAAATTGACAAATACATGTAACAATATGTTCTACAGTTGCAAAAAATGTTGGTTTATCGTTTCATTCTTTTCGTTTATATTTCGTTTATTACAAGTATGTTAATGAGAAGCTTTCGTTTTTTTTAAAGTTAGTAGTATTTTTTATTTGTTTATTCACACATAATAAACAA